TTTCCATCCCAACCACATGCCAAGAACCCATGAATGGCAAAAGCTAATATGAAACCACCCATGTTTCTAACCAGGATGCTGTAAAATACGCTATTTGCTAATATTTTTCATACATACCAGTGCCACACTTTCACTGACCCAAGAAGATGGATTGGGTTCAAGTCTTGAGACATAAATCACAAAACGATCCGGAAATACACGCAATTCTGTATAAGTAAGGAAAAAAAATTTACATCTTTGGATGCTTTTTAACATAATGACAATTTCAGAACCACTTTCTATATCACCTGATCCTTTAGGTTTTTAAACACGCTACCCCCCCTTTTTTTTGTCAATTGACTTCCATACTCTCTTTTCTTACTTTTCTTTGACAAGCGAAAGTTACTAAAGTCAAGAACTAATTTTTTTGGGGGGGGGGGGAAGGCCCCAAGATTTTGCCACTGGAATATGCAAAAGAACTTAGCTGTTTTTCCCCTATTCCAGTGCTATCCTACATGGATTTTTTTCCAGATATTTTAAAAATAGTTTTTTCTGTCAATCTTTCTGCAGGTTTGATCGTTGATAGCAACCATCCCACCTACTCCTATGATGGCAGGGCCAGGTACAAAAAAAGAAGCCAAGTGACTGATCCCACGATCTCATATATTCCTATAATTTTATTTTTATGGTAAATATAAGGTTGAAAGACATCTTGGTGTAGTGGTTAAGGCATCAGGCTAGAAACTGGGAGACTGTGAGTTCTGGTCCCACCTAGGCACAAAACCAGCTGGGTGACCTTGGGCCAGTCACTTCCTCTCAACCCTGTGAAGGAAGCAATGGCAAACCACTTCTTGAAAAACCTTGCCAAGAAAACTGCAGGGACTTTTCCAGGCAGTCTCCGAGAATCAGACACAATTGAACAGATACGCATGTATGTATGTATGTATGTATGTATGTATGTATGTATGTATGTAATCTGCCTATGTTTAATTTTATTTATTTTTATTCCTTTGTGGTATTTATTGATTTTCACTGTTAGTGGCCCTGGGTGGTGTACCAACAATACTATACAGGAGAGGATTTAAGTGTTAGGCATGGTGGGTCTTTCAGTATGCAAAGATTGGGGCAGATGGGAATTGTAAACTATACTTTAACATACGTCATTAGAACTAGACTTTAATGAGCAAACTAAATGCAAGCGATAGTATGACTGTAATAAATGCCCACTCTTAATAATATTAACAACAACACAAAAAGTAGTTAGCTCCAAGGCTTCCCCCAGCCACAATCATGACAAAAAATACCAAAGGTGAAATCTGTATTCTGAAATCCTATACTGAAGCTTGTAGAGGTTTCCCTTGTGACTTATACAAAATGGTAGTAGGCCAACTAATGAGATCATTGTATTATTATTCTGGATTTTGAAAAAAAAATCGCTTCTTATACTAGTATAATTCAAAACATGATAAAATAAACTTCTGGTGAGGACATGGCAAACTGGACATCCTCAAAGGAGTGGGGACAGTGCTGCAGCAGAGATCAGTGACCAGAAGGCAAGTTCTGGCTGCTGAAATCTCTCCAGAAAAAGGAGAGATTGTGAGATTGCCCACATGCACTCCTGACAGCTGCTCCTTGCGAGTAGACTGCAGGAACTGAGGTTTTGATGGTCAGCTTATGAGTGGAGTGGCTGAGAGTCAAGGGATTCCATCTAAACTCACAGTCATAATGTAGCCTATATGGACAAAAAACTCAGCCAAGCCTCATTTCTTAATCACTTTTGGAATTGCCTTTTAATTGCTTTTCAGCTACTAAGAACTTTCAGATCAACATGTTTTACAACATTCACTGAATGAGTCTCTTTCAATCCTTGGAGAAAGAAATGTTAAGTACAAGATTAAGGATTAAAAAAAAAATTGGGAGAGGGAATAAACAGCAAAAGCGTGATTAGAATCTTGATTTTAGAAAGTTATAAACGGATTAAGGGACCAGAGGAATTTCAATGATTTTGAAATTGATTATAAGAAAACTTCCAGTGGGAAAATGCTGTTGTTTATGGGAAAAAAACATGTTAAGATGGGACTGAAGGTTGGACGCTAGAGGGAACCAGAAAGAATTAAAGATTATAATTAAAGGAAAACACTCAAATTCGACTCACTAATACAGAATTGAGCAAAATACTTTAAATTTGGATGAACTGTAGAATATTTGTGAACAATGGACTCAGAAGTTAATCTTAAGAATGTCTGCTATCACAGACAAACTGGTTTTAAAAGAGTTTATAGAAGAGGAACAAGTGTTACTGGACAAGACTGAGACTGATTTGAATGTGGATTTAAAAATGCCAGGTTACAAGAATATGGGAAAAGACGTTACATTGGATATACAAATGAAACCGGCTGAAGTCTCAATAATTAAAAGGATATACAAATAACAAACCAGAAGAGTGACTTGGATAACTTTCTTATTTTGGATTTACAGAAGAGACATATTTTCTGAGAAGAGACAAAGAGAAAGTGAAAAAAAATCAAGTTCTGGAGTATTGTATTGTCGAAGGCTTTCATGGCCGGCATACGATGGCTGGTGTGGGTCTTCCGA